CGGGGTAACCGCGGGTTAAGGGTTTAAGAGGCTGGTTAACCGGTAACCCGCCTCGGCGAGCTCCCAGGGACTCGGGCACCGGAAGCGCAGCCCCGGCTCTGCGAGGGGGAAGGCGGGTGGTCCGCGAGGGTTGTCCCAAAGCAGCAGCCCCTCTGCTCAGGAGCTTCCCCGGCCTCGGCAGAGCTCAGAGCTGGAGCTGCCGGGTCCCGCCTGGAGTCTCACGTGTTATTTTCCTGCTTGTTTTTTCGCTTAGGAGAACGCCACAAACGAGGAAATCCTGCGCTCGCTGGAGTACGTTCGTCCTGGCAACGGCTACAAGCCCAACTTCACCTTGTTTGAAAAGTGCGATGTGAACGGGAAGAACGCCCACCCGCTCTTCACCTTCTTGAAAGAGGCGCTGCCCTTCCCACACGATGACCCCTCCTCACTGATGACCAACCCGCAGTACATCATCTGGTCCCCCGTGTGCAGGAATGACATCTCCTGGAACTTTGAGAAGTTCCTCATCGGCCCAGATGGCATTCCCTTCAAACGCTACAGCAGGCATTTTGAAACCATCAAGATCCAGGATGATATTGAATTGCTTCTTCAGAAAGTTCCTAAGAACGTTCTTGGTTAAACCAGTGATTTGCTGAGACCTGCCAGGCTTTGCTGACCTGTCATCTCCATTTCCTGCTTAGTTTGTTAGGCTTGTGCCTGCTTTTCTAGTGGAGGGCTGCTCATTCTGGTGGTAAAATTCTAATGTCCTTGCAAGTTTTGCTCATGATGGTACATATTCCAAATTCTTGAAGTGTACTTGATGTTTTAAAAGTTGCAAGTGAATGTTTGGAAAGCTACTCCAGGGAAAGCAGCTTTGAGTCTCTGAATAAAAAATGTGTACTTTCTCTAAGGCTACTGCTTGATAAATTTGGGAGAGCTGGGTAAAGCGCGGCTACCATGCTACGCTTCCATCAGCTTGTGTCTGTGCTTGCAGATCCGACACAAATTACACAAGTGTGGCATGTGATCAGACTGAAAGCTGAACACAAAGAAAAAACAACTTGATGGGTAAACACTGTTTGCAAACGATGAATCAATGCCGTGTCCTATTCTCTGTGTAACTAGCTTGTCAGAACAGGAAAGCAGCATAGAACAGAACAGAAATACCTTGCCACACTCTTTACTTGGCCTCTCTTGAGGCTTGCCTGCATGAGAAAGATAATGCTGGCACAGGGCCAAGGTATGAATTTACATTAGCTTCCAAATTCCTAGTCTGGATAGTGATAAGAGGCCAGGACAGCATGAATGCTAGATTAATAAATGTTTAGGGGAGTATAGGAGTTGTTTTGCAGTTTGTGCTGAATGTTGTGCTGTTCTGATGGCGCTTGCAAATGGCTTGGGGAAGAACAGCCATCCTGATTCAGACCAAGGTCCACCTAATTATTTAGCCTCTGTCAATGGATGCCTAGGGGAGACTAAGCCAAGGTCCACCTAATTATTTAGCCTCTTATTATTTAACCACAAGCAGCATGCATGATCACTCCCACTGGTAACAGAAGCACCTCCGCGCCCTTTCCAGCTCAGCTATCTCCTGTGTTTATTGTGTTTTGTATTGGTAGCCCAAATTAGATCTCTGCATAGAGATCTCTTGCCCAGTCCCACGTTAAGCCCATGTAACCTTACTGCATCCCCAACACCTTGCAACACATTGAATTAAGACGAAGAATGAGCTTATCTTGTTTATTTTGAACCTGGTTCCTGCAAGCTCCGTTTGCTTCGCCCTAGTTCTTAACACTGGACAAGAGAGCAAGCAGTCTCCATCTACTGACAGCAGGGCAGGTTCTTTCTTTCCCAGACTGAAAAATACTATTTCAACTGTTCCTCATATGGGAGCCATGTCTTACCTTAGATTGTAGCTTTCAGGCACCGCAACTGAATGCAACATTCGAAGTGCGCATGAGCCAGGATTCGGACAATGTTGTTTTCTTCTTATTCCTTTCCTTACACTTTTTTTGAGTCTTGATACTCGTGTCAAGGAGTTTTTATAATCCCAGTATTTTGTTTATTTTGTTCCTGAGCATTGATGCTCAGCTCACAACCTGTTGCTGCATGTGTGAAATTAGAATTGGTTTCCCTTTGGGAACTGAGCTTGCCCCAAATTTCATCTGCCATCTTATTGCCCAGTCACTCAGGTCCTGCAAGTTTGCAGTCAGCCCATGACCTTGCCACCTTGGATAACTGTTTCACTGGAAAACTATCTTCTTACCTATGTCTGTGAGCTACAGTTGCACATTTTGATTACAAGTCACTCCTCACAAGGCGTAGAAGCACGAGTATAAGCTCAGTACCAGACTGAGAAATACCAAATGCAAACTAGAAACCCAGACTTTTGGAAGTAAAGCTTTTAAGTTTTATCATTTGTGCATTGCTTTCATAATTACAAACACTTAGGTTTGTTTGTTTGTGTTTTGTTTATAGCCTCAGCTTCTCACCTCATTTATTTGCTGATTGCCTTGTTAGCGTAAGTAAATTTAAGGCCCCTGCTGGGCTGAACACGTTGTCGCAAAACCTACAGCCTTCTCCACCCTGCTTACTTCTGTGGCTGAGTAATCAAGCTTTAAACTGAAGATTACACAATCCTCACCAGGCTATTTCTTAACTTCCACTGCAGTTTTGTGGAAAAACAGGATGTTTTCAGTAGCTATTCTAGCTTTGCAGCAGAAGCTGCTTGATTAGGGACATTCATCTTTCAGTTAAATCTACTTTTCCAATTAATATAGGATGTTAAAATATGCTAAGAGTATAGTGGATCATGGGTAGCAGGAACTCATTACCCAGCATTTAAAAATCTTTCTCGGCATGAGCCGTAGCACTTCCTTAATCCAGATTCACCCAAACTTGAGACACTTGACGAGGATCCCTCTGCAGGGGCAATTTCTTTGCTTTGACATGTTCCTCATTAGCTTGTGGCCCTCACTGAGACCCACAGCTATGGGGAGCAGGTTGTAACACCTGCTGTTGTTTCATTGTCAACTGTGTGCAAAAAAAAAAAAAAAAAAGAGAGAGAGAGAGAGAGCTCACGCCAAATTTGGATATTACCCTGGCTCAGTCAGAAGGATATCTTATAAAGTGTTTGCGGCAGTGGAAAGAGCCAAGGGATGAACCCTCTGGCTGATGCAGTTGTGCTAGCAGAAAAACAAAGCAGCAGTCCCAGTACAGATACATCCATGCCAAAAGAAGTACATTGATGCTATTCCAGCATGAAAATTAGCTATGCCAGCAGGAAAACGAACAATACTGGTATTAGCACACTGCAATTCCAGCAGTAGCTCTGCAGAGTAGATAAAAGCCTCTCAGCCTTGCCATTCCCTGCCTCATTTCATTATTCACTAGAGTAGCTGGCTCTTGGGGGAAAGGGAGGCTGGGGTGAAAAGGGGGGCCTGCAGGCTGGGAAATGTTCCTAAGCGACACACACAGAAGAGCACAGCCCCGATTTCAAACAAAGGTAGAACCGCTAAACTGAGAGTAAAAGGTAAAAATCTCAGGCAGTTATACAGGAGATTCTCCAGGGATTATAAAGTGGCCCAGTTCTATTTCTGTAACTTATGAGAGAAACAAATTAACCCACCTGGAAACTTCAAATTAAATAATGCTACTTTAGAACACTTAAGTCCTTCTGTGTCCTGAGGACAATGCCCCTTCCATGTCCCATGTCTCTCACATCTATACTCCTACACCTTTCTACCTCAACACTGTTCCATAAACAGTTAGTCCTTCTGTTCGTGTCAAAGGATCTGTTTACTCTGCTCTCCCCATTTTTCCACATTCTGGAGTCCCACATTTTCCTCCCTTTGCAGAGAATGTGTTTGGCCCTCCCTTCTCCCTCACCTCATGATTCCTCTCCCCCCCCCCCACCTTTAAAGCTGCTGCTAGTTGTCATCAACTTCTTAAACCTTTAAACAAGTTCAGATATTTGAAGCTGTGCTATCAGAGTGTTAACTAGCTGCCAAGAACATTTTCCCTTCCTGTCCCTATCTCCCTCTCCTGGGTTCCTGAGTGTTCCACCCACAAAACCCTAGCACATCTCCTGAAATCATGATCGATGACATGCTGTGTTCAGAAGTGTTATATTCAACAGATATGCCATCAAATGGAGCATAAGACCTTTCTGGCTCAGCCTATTAAATAAAATTCCTTGCTCCTACTGTAAAGCTTTGTTGCACCTACTAAGCAACTTGCATATAGCTTTTGGTCACTCGCTGCTTTTTATCATTGCTGTAGTAAGGTGGGCAGGAAACATCTGACTCAAATTGGGTTGTACCTGGAAGGTATTTGTTCTTCTTCATTCCACTCTAGCAGTTAGGTGCCATAAGATTTCAGCTGGAAACCAGTAAGGGCAAGAAGCCAAACAGCTGAAAGGAAAAGCACTTAAACAGAGGAGAAAACACAGGGACACCCCTATCTACTGTGAAACTGTAACAATGTCATTTCCTAATACTGAATCAGAAAGCCGTGAATGAGACTATTTTAACTGTTTACCACACTTTCTATTAGGAGTAGGTAATTCACATTTACCAGGGTGAGGTCAGCCAAAAAAGCATTATCTCAGAATAGCTGACTCATTTTAAAAACACACCCAATCTTGTTGCAACAGGGTGTATCAGTCCGTTGAAGACCAAAAAAGGCTGTGGCCCTACTTTTTGAGAAAAACAAGAGTGAGTAACAGGACTCAACTCTTACTGGAAGGAGAAAATTGTCTTCTATTTTGATATTACCTGGGTAGACTTATCCTGCTGTTCAAACAAAAAAAAAGAAAGGCATTTAGCATCTTACCCCAGGACTGCTGCAATGTGCCTAGGCCTGGCTGGCAGGAGGTAAAGCCAGCCTACAGAACCGCTCATTGCACCACGTGGACTGACAGTAGGGCACCGTCTGCCAGGAGAGTGCTTCTCTGAGCAGACATTTTACAGTCTGAGCACATCATCCCCTCCTTTCTTTTCCATGAGGTAAATTAGAAGGTCTGTACACAATAAAATTATATTTCACTTCATTATTCAACCCATCTTTGTTAAGAGAAAATCTAGCAATATCGGAAAATGCTAGTTAAATTTGCACACTCCCACAATTTAGGAATTATTTCTAAAGATTCCTTAATATACTTACAGACTCAGTTAATGATACGATAATGTGAACTTCTGGTGCTTGGATGAGTTGTTTTATGAATGTAAGAAGGTGGGACAATTCACATGAGCGCAGAGGAACTGAGACAACAAAACCAGTAAGGATACCACAACAGGACCACTTGTGACCTCCCAGACTCTGATTCCAGAGTTTAGGTGGCTAGAGTCAGAATACCATTCTTCCTCAATAATGAACACTGACAAATTAATTTACATGTATTTTCTAAAGCAAAACTCAGGTTTCCTTTCTCCAGCAAATCACAACTGCAGACAACAACAGATGAGCCACTGTGAGGTTTTGCCAAGTCAACACTGGAAGTAAGATTAAAAAAATACAAAGTCCCTGTTTGAGATAGCTTATGTGAGCTTAGGAAGAATGCCCTGGGTCCCAGGTAGCCTTCCCTCTGGTCTGCACATGCAGTCACAATAAGGATGATTTGTATCAGGATGCCCTGGAATTGCAATATATCAAATTATCACTGGAGCAAGATTCAATGATTACAATTTCTGATGGGAGAAAAGCTCAATTTGGCTTAAACTCAATGAGAGGCTAGACCAGTGTCTAGCCAAAATTCACACCGCTGAAGGACACATTCAGTGTCATTTCTGTTTGTGCAGCAGCCACATCCTTGATCTCTGCTCAGTTTGCTCATTCTTTTCCATTTGTAGTAGATATACTACTCTAGAGAAGAATGCCTAAATCTCTTCCCAAAGGGTTATCTTTC